GGATTGATCAAGTTCAAATTTCACACACACATGGTACATCATGTCACAAATAGATATGTGCATTTGTTTCATGATCTGCTTAACAATAGCGGAATGATGGCCATTTTAAGGCCGAAAATGCATCAAAATCACATATTTTCACAATTCCAGAACCGGATCTCAGTCATGCATGGATGGATTTTGTTCAGATTTAGCACAATGTGTTGTACATATGCAGGTGCATTTCGGTCATGATCTGCTTTGAATGTATATGTCACTCAAATATGAACGGAACGGGGACGTGTCATTGACAATGACTTGTTTGTTTTACTGTATTTGTTATATTACATGTAGAAAGAAGCACATATCTATAGTAGTGCACTTAAACCAAAAAAATTGTTAAGACTCATTTTGAAAGTGAAAAATAAAATCGCACTATTTTGAAGTGTATCAAGGCAGTCAAAGTCAGGTTGGGATTCTGAAAGTCAGTGAGAAGCTACTTACAAGAACAAGACTGTGCCTGATTGGCTATCCAACATCTCAACATCTAACTGTCAGACTAATCAGAATGCAGCTTGTTTGTTGACAGGATGACGTATAAATTTCGCCACGTATAGATGCTTTCACTCAACTGGGATCTAAAGGCAAAATCTTAATTTTGCTATCTTCTATGAACTGTTGGTGTCTTGGTATTTTCTTCATGTTCAAGTCGAAGGCATTATTCAGGAGTTTAGGCAATAGATATTAGCACCCACAAAATATCAAAGTTCAGGCTCTAGCTGCTAATATGTCATCAACAGCTTATGCAGGAATTGGGAAAATACATCTATACATTTGTGTTATTGGGTAAAAAAGAATAAATTTTGGTTCTGATAACATGCACTTTTTATCCATCAGACATCAGAAAACTTCACGCTGACTTGCTGATTATTTAAAACAAAACCCATATTTTTTCATCTTTTGCTAAAATTTTTTTTAGTGTAGACAATAAATTTTAGGTGTGGTACACAATGTTGGGTTATCTGAACCACACATATTTTATGTATTTGGCTTTCGAAGCACATCTCAAATCTTTGAGTTGAGAAAGTGCCTATTTTCAATGCAAAAATTGATATAATTACATTAGGAATAGGAATAGTATGGATGAAAACTCATTTGGTATTGAGGCAGTAGCATTTGTTGACACAGTGAAGTTCAGGCCCTTGCTTATAAAGCTACCTGCACAATTTTATGACACAAACACAAGAGCATGTACATGAACCAATAATTTATTTGGCAAAGAGGGGGGCACACCACAAGACCATCGTACACAAAAGTGAGACAATGCATAATAGACTGATAAGATGGTCCCTGGTGCCACCCCCAAAATGTACAACAAAACAGGTGTAAACTAGCTGGCTTACAGTTTCTAAACTAAAATACAAACTAGACTAAGACTGAAAACATGTGGTTGGTGCAGCATAGCTGCATGATGTTAGTATGGAATGGCAGATTGCAGCATGACTGCAACTGGAAAGTATAGGCAGCGAGTGCTGCGGCTACACCATGGTTATGCAGCGGGGGCTGCATGAAGTTAAGAGGTTATGGGTTAGAGGCAGCGGGTGCTGCAACTACTGAGTTTAGACATTGACGCAGCGAGGGCTGCCTGTGAAGTCGTTAATGAGGTATTAGTAATTACAATAATAAAATTAACAATAATAATAAAACCCACGCGAAATATACCTAAGAAAAATATGAATGATCTTGGGGGGATATGAGCTAATCCCATAAGCAAAGTCCCCGAAATGATGCAATTGTTTTAATTGCAGAATAACCCCCAAGATATAAAGGATGGTAGGAATACATGAAAATGTAAACATTGCTAGTATATAATGAGTACCGGTATATGCACTACTAAACGAACCAATATGGCATACATGTAGCTACTGCAAACAGTGTGGTTCGAATTACTATATACTGTAAAAAATGTATTTTTATGTAGCATGTTATTTTAGCTAATCTGTAATTTGGCTAATTCAAGGTGTAGCTAATTTCAAGAGAAAGTATATTCTCACAATGAGATTATTGGTATTCTAGCAAAATTAAGATTCAGTTAATTCATGCATCGAGTCAAATTCACTAAAATGGCATGTCGCTATTACAACATTCTTTTCAGTATATCACATACAGAGCAATGTTGATACTACATATTATTGATATTCCATTTTTTGCTAGAATGAGTATTAAAGTTCATGTTCATGTTTAGTTGATTTTTTCAGGCATACATGTTGCTTGTCTGCTGCATGGATACATGGTTCGTTTTTTTTATATATTGCTAAATCAAAATGCATGACTGGTTTCTATTCCGCACATTAACTCATTTAAGTCTAGCAACTGTATTCAAGAAATGAATCTGCTAAGAAGAACGCTGGCTGTGAAGTTAATTCATGACACCAATAAATATCCTGTGCAGTCATTCATGCATGTACATCGCTTTCAGTATTTTTCTCACAGCCATGTATAATATATTACATATTTGGTCTCCTGATCTGCTTAGTTTCTGTAATAACAACTCGATACAAACATTGCAACATGTTCAAATCAGAATTCCAATGGATGCATTGCCTTATTCTAAATGTTTCAAGATTGAAACTACCAGATGTAAGTGATCAGTGTTGTATCAGAGTATAGAGGATATCTGTACAAAGCATGTTAACAACAATTCTGGTTTCACGTTGCCATCGGTTTATTTATAAAATAAAGTTAAAGTAATTTAGATTCTCTAAGAACTATATATGGTTTTATGATGCATGTAGTATGTTACCCAAAAGTAAAAAAAAGTGCAATTTTCTGTATTTTTTACATATCTGACTAAAAATAAAATAAAAATATATAGCATATTTTGTTTGTTTTAGGGCATGTTATCATTGTTTCCTATGGCGAGGGTTTGTCTCAATAAAAAATACAATTACAATGTGTAAATGTATTTGAAAATTGACATTATTTTTAGTTGTTTTTAGTTGTTTTTTGATGACAAAATGGTTTTTCATTGTACATACAGTCTATGGAAACAGCTGCTAAATTGTTATGTTATGCGTAACATTTTATAATTTTGATTGACTGTATATTAAAAATCCCACATACTTTTAACTGGTGCTAAAACGATAAATTATAGTCCGATTTTTGCATGAAATATTGTTACTGCTATATGCACTAAACTATGTCCACATGACAAGCATTATACCTGCAGTGTTATTATAATACTAGGCAGGTTCCAATTCTTCTATTTCTATGTTTTATCCTTTGTATGTTTTTGTTTCTTCTTACATTGGCCATGGATCATGTACCGCATTGTGACATGTCTCATGAGTTTATAACATAGTACATACCATACTACATGTATGTGGATATCACAAAGTACATCATGTACGGTGATAATATTGACCACTGCATAGTGTAAGTGCAACCAATCCCATAATGCAAATATTTTGATATTATTCATAATAAACTTTGCATTTGTGCCAGACTGTACTGACTGAAAAACCACCTTTTATTAGAATTCTGTCGTTTAGGTTTCTGTGTGATCGTTCTATTTCCATCATATTATTTGATGTTATAACAAGAATACCGCAAAGGCAATATGATGATCGTATCGATCGACACGTAATACCGGTAGAGGTTGATTTGATTTTGTACTGCCTGAGTGAGTGCATATACTTTGCAGTACACTCATGATAACCTTATTATTATACTTCTTTTCTCTGTTTATATGTACGAATAATTTAATAAGAAATACATCAAAATTGCCAATGAAAGATGTTTTGCGCTGTCAGAGTTTTTGTATTCATTGACATGATTTGATTTTCATTACAAGCTATAGTGCTTCTGTATACAAAGAATAGTATTCAAATATGACGTCAATAACCTGGAACATGTTAATGTTGGGAAGAGTGTAGATGTATTTTACAGAAAAATACGTTGTATTTTTGGTGCTACATGTAGATGTATAGTAATGTTTATTATTTCAAGCCAAATAAAATACCAGTATGCATCATACATGTACGTGTATCATTTCATCAATCAATCACTTACAGAATCTGTATGTACCGTACTTCCCAGAGTATAAGCCCAGGGGCCTGAACATGTAAAATCAAGAAAATTAGGTGGTGGGCTTATACTCGAAGACCACCTCAAAAAAGATCAAATTAATCATGCGTAAAAGCAGGAACCAAACTAACGTACCAATCATGACTTCATGACTATTATGCAATGAAATACACTTTTTACATGCATATTTTAATAAATGTCATCAACGCTCGGTAAAACACCCTGGGCCTATACTCGGGGATGCCGTCAACTTATTAAATGTATCAAAACAGAGGGGTGGGCTTATACTTCGGTAGGGGCTTATGATTGGGGAAGTACGGTTTGTACAGAGTTTCTTTCAACTTTCCCAAACATACACTTGTCTGATTGTCATACAATTTTATACTTTCTCCACTATGGCTATGTACATTAAAACTGCAATTACATCTCATTTTTAATGTTCCACACTACTACTGACTAATAGTGAGATACACATATACCTAGTAGCATAAATTGCAATTTCTTTTTATTGTATCATCCACAGTAACCGTTCCAGTTCTCAAAATACAAACTGGGCATCCAGTCCACCTGGAAGTGTTCTCGGCAATGAAGGATCCAACTCACCAAACAGTTTACGTCAGCAAAAACTTGAGAAACAACGTGCCTTACTCGATAAGCGGCGACGTGAACGAACAAGCCAGCCTGGTATGGTTCTACCGAATGATAATGATAGAGTCGGTTCCGGTGGCAAGTCAAGACGTCATCGACAGGAAGAAGCCCGTCCATTAGTTGATTACAAACCAACAAGTGTCTACCATCAGGGGGATGAGTTTGAGGGTAAGTTTATTTTTGCCAATCAGGTTCTACAGGCAGTGAAACACTGATTAGGAAGTGTCTATTGCTAAATTTTGTGACAAATCACATAGTAAAGGTGTCAACAAATTAGGTTAAATTTTTCACCACCAATAGACTTTCTCATCCAAATTTTTCTGAACTTTTTTTTTTATATATTCCCTAATTTTTTAGCCAACAGACATAATTTCAGTTTTTCCTCAAACAATTCAACTATTTTTGTCCCAAATATTCTGAAGGAAAGTGCAGACTATCAACAGAACTATTTTGTGAATTTGTGGTGAAAGGAGAGATTTTGTGGTAAAAAGGTAAAAATATCAGGAGAATATCCCAATGATTAAGACTTGTATCCTTTATCAATAGGTGAATTTCTTAAGAAATTTAGTAATCCACCCTCAAAAGATTTTAATTGTCTGGCTTTTTCCAATGTGCACATATTCCTA